CTTAGGTTCTTGGGTTGAAACTACTTGGAAAAAATATCATCATAAGTTTTGACATTTATTATCAATGCCAGCATTTACAGATTCTTCTTGAAGGGATAAAGTATAAATATGTTTTCAAACCATTTGTGCAAATCCCTAGATTATATTCTTTCTAAAAGCCATCAGATTAAGGTCAAATAGTAATTGATAAACTCAAAGAGAAAGCATATGCTAATTCTCACTTGAAGTTCCTTCTCAAATGCAACAATCTTTTATGGAAGAACTCAGAATTCTTTATTAAGCTATCATTCAAGCTTAATGAAGACATTAACCCTACCAAGACCAGTCATTTAGGAATGAAATTAGCTCACCAAAAGCTAGTTGAAAAAGAATGTAAACAATTATAGTAGCAAAGGTTAATTGAGCTATCTAATTCTTAATGGGCATGCTAGGCTTTCTATGTTAGCAAGCGAGTTAAACAAGTTAGAGGCAAATTAAGATTAGTTATAAATTGCTAGCCTTTTAATCACTTCCTCCTTCATGACAAATTTCCATTGCCCAACAAAAACTCTATTTTCTCAAGTCTTGCCAATGCTAAAGTCTTCTCAAAATTTGATCTCAAGGTTACTTTTTGGCAATTGCGTATTTGTCTTGAAGCTAAGCCAAAAACAAGATTCTGTATACCTTACCATCACTACCAATGGACTGTATTACTATTTAGGCTCAAAATGGTGCTATCATTGTTCCAAAAGGCAATGGTAAAAATATTTCATCCCATAATGGACCAGGCTTTCATTTATATAGATGATATCCTCTTATTCAGCTAAGATGACAAAGCCCACATTCAACTACTTTAGCGCGTCACAGAATTGGTCTTAAAATTTGGAATCATGCTCTAAAAAAAAGTTGCAAGTTTTCAAGTTAGAGATTGACTTCCTCAGAATGCATATTAACCAAGGAAAATACTAGTTAAGCCCTCACATTGCTCAAAAATTGATCAAACTTTTAGTCCAAGACCTCACAAAAATCAAGTTCAATAGTTTCTTGAAATTGTTACCTATCTTAGAGATTTTGTTCCAAATCTTTCGAAATATATTAACCCTTTGAGGAAAATGCTAAAGAAAAACTCTTTAGAATGAGAAATCTCTGAAACCAAGGCCATCCAAGAACTCAAAAGTAAGCTACAGAATTTGGAACCTCTCAAATTTCCTTCAGATAACAAAAGAATCCTCTAAACTGATACCAGTGATAAGTATTAGGGAGAAGTAGTTGTTGAAGAAAAGGAAGGAAAACAACATATATATGCATACAAAAGTGGGAGATTTTCAAATTTTGAAATGCATTATCATTCCACCTTTAAAAAAATCTTGGTAATAAAAAGGGCGATCTTAAATTCGAGTTCCATTTAATTGGATACTATTTTTTGTTTGAAATGGATATGTCTTCATTTCCATAGATGCTTAATTTCTGACCGAAGGCAATTCCACATCTTTAGTTGCTAAGATGGGTAGAATGGTTTTCAAAGTACTCTTTTGATACCAAACATATCAAAGCAAGCAAAAATAAACTTGCAAATTTCTTGTCTAGACCATCTTAAAACCCTAAAATCTTAATGTTTAGGCCAAAAGCTTCCAAGTTTACACCTAAACCAGGCACCTATATCATCGAGTCATCCTTTTCTTTCTCATCCTTTACCCCAATGGCACCAAATCTCTATCTTGATTACTCTCATGAAGTACTCAGACTAGTGCAAGAAGGAACATTCCACCAAAAGACTGAACAACTAGTTTTTGAATACCAAATTGAAGTCTTCTGGAAGTATGGTGGTCTTATCCTCAAACCTTATGGTCTTCACCCAAAATATCCCTTTAGCCATCCTTTTTACTATGAATTCATGGAGTTTCTAGGGGAATTAAAATGGATGTTTTAGTACTTGACCCATAAGTATCACATTGGTGTCCAACTCCATATTATGAATTTCCTAGAATTCATAAGGAGAAATAAAAACATGGAGAAAGAACTTTGTAGATTTCCTCACATGGTTTTATCCACTCCTACACTGGAAGGAATTAGTCACATCAGAAGCAGAAAAAAGAAAAGATGTTGTCATATTTATCCTTTACAAGTTTCGGTATTTCGTCACACATGGAAAAGCTACACAACTTGGCACATTCCCTTCTACATGGGCATACAGATCATTCCATTACAATATCAGGGAACTTGATCAAGAATATAGAATATTTCAAAAATGTATATGCTAACATAACAAGACTATTCCAAATCATATCTAGCTTTCATTGAAAGCAAAAATGTTGGTATTATTTCCCCGAGACACGTGGACCATATTATGATTAAATAAAAGCAACATTAAAAGAATACAATGACGGAATCCCTCATCCTCATGAGTAGTTCTCAAGACCATTGGGAATATGGAGAGATAAATAAAGATGAGCTTGCATAACTCTCTATAAAGCCACCATGTGAAACATGCAAAGGACACTGTGATACAAACCCTGAGGCATTCTCTTTACACATGTACATATGCAAGGAAAAAAACCAGCAAAAGACTATGGAACTCAACCTCACTTCAAACCTTGGCACAAACTATGACTAAAGAAGGCCAAGAGAGTTGTGTTTTGTGGCCAATGCATACCTGTTACTAGGATCACTTTTTTATTCCGATCCATTTACTAATCTCTTTCTCAACATTGCCCTTATTGGTATAAGAAGGAATAGTCATCATAGACTTTGCTTAACCTTAAATAGCCATACAAAATAATAGCTCTTCATTAATCACACCACATTTTCACCCCAATTTTGTGTTTTTTTTAATCAAATTACCTAAAACATTAAAGCATGTATTCTACTTGCTTAAATTACTTGCATTTATTTTGATGTAAAATAAAACTCAAGTAGCCCAAACAAAAATTGTTCATAAATATAAAATTGCAATTTGATATGTGAATATTCAAGTCAATGGATGTATTTCTTAGTAAAATAGTTGAGTTAAATCTCTTTTTCTCAATAAAAGAAATAGAAACATAATGCTTGAAAAAATTATTAAATTTTTTAAGAAAATTTAAATAAATCATTATTATTTTATTATGTTTAATTTAATTTTTATATTTTTATTTTAAACCAAATAGGTATTTATAATTAAAAGTTAACCAATGACCATTTGTCAAAATATCTTTTATTATTTTATACTGACGTAAAACTAATGTAGTACTGAGACGACGTTGTCATGAAAAGTAAGTATCAAAATATCATATTAATATGTCACATCATTATCTATTGTACTATATCAATGCGTCAAGTGATATTTTGCTTAACAATAGTTAATCAATCATTAATTGTAAATATTTATTTAATTAAAATTAAAAAAATAATAACTTGATGAATGATAATAAAAAAATTATTTAAAATTTTCAAAATAATTTATTGATTTATTTAGATACTAAATGTAAAAATAATCACATTTGAGCGCCTATAAGATAAAAATTTTAAATATTTTAAAGAAATAACTGTACAATCTATTGTATCGGAAAGAATAAATTCCTTATTCAAAGGTTTTAATTTTTTTATTTTTAAAATCAATAAAGATTATATTATATACCCAAGAAATGCACATCTCATATCGCGAGAAATGAACAAGAGAATACTGTAGAGTAGAGTCCGTGGATGGGCATCGAGAAGATGGGGCCATGTCCTACAGGCACCTAACGACAAGCCGACAAGGTGGGACCAAACATCAGATGGCTCGACACGTTGGAAGCGTGGGAGCCCACCCCGCATTTGTCACAAGTAAGGGACCACACCGAAAAAGGCGCAACCCCGAGAAGCTCAAACTCAAAGCAAAGCACACGGGTTTTGAATGAAAAATACGGTGACAGCTCAACAAAGGCATAGACCACATCAAACGTCCATAGGTACATTTGTTTCTTTTTATAAACCAGGTTTGAGTTCCGATTAATAGAAGGTTTTCAGGTCCGAAAATAACATAAAAATAAGGATTAAAAATCGAACACTGGTTTTTCTTCTGATTGAAGTCAATAGTTTTTGTCTGATATTGACGGCGTACGGTCGTGTCGGGAGGCCAGGAGACAGGGTCCACGCTTGCCTACATTTTCATTTTACTTTTTATGTTTAATCGACGGTTCGAAAGGGTGGGACCCGGGGGGGAAAATGGAGGAGAGGAGTTACGGCAGCCATGATTGAATACATTCGAATCATTATATGTTTCCACGCCTTTCCTGCTGGTTCTCTGCCACGTGACAGCTTTAATTCTCTGATTCTGACACCTGTCTTGGGTTTGGTATTTGTTCGCATCCGATTTAATAGGGAAGCGAGGGCGGTTTTCTGTCATTTTGGAAATTAATATGAATGGGTAATTTATGTTCACAAATCAACAGATATGGTCCCTAATTATGACAAAATTTTGGTAATTACAAATATTAATATATGGACAAAATAAATATCTAGCTCTACATATTAAATTAATACTCATTCTGTTTCATTTTTTTTTTCATTTGATTTTTATGAAATTTAAAACAAAACTTTTGATTTTATTATATTTTATATAAAAAAATTATTTTTCATACAATTGAAAATCATAAAAAAATATGAAAATTAAGTATTAAAAAACAGCTCAATTTTGAAACTTCCAATAAAAAAATCAACAAAATAAAATAAGATTGGATATTTCCTCTACAACTACAAGGAGCATTTACATTTATTTATATTTAACCTTTTTTTTAAAAAAAAATCATGTCATATATTCTTAATTCAATTTTATATTAGATCATGATTAACTTGCATAGAATTTAAAATAAGGGATAATCCATACCCACCATTTTGTTTTATTTTATTATATTTTAATGATTCTCTGAGAGAAGCCAAATGTTCTCAATAGAAAGAAAAGAGAGAATTTATTACAGAGGGTAACACTTACTGCATTCAAACATTACTTATATAAGCTTCCCAGAAAATGAAAAATGGAGGAATATGGGCACTCGCATATATAGTTTAAAAAATGGATTTTCATATTCAAATATCACAAGGGTTTCAACACTTAGCCTTTCAGGGTTGTGTGACCCTGTCACTGCCACTGCACCTTCAACAGACAAATGAATGCCTCTCAAAAGATGGTGATTCCTCACAAAAGAATGTTATTGAATTCTACCTGTCTGAAGATGAAAATCAATTGGTCTTTCTCTTAGCATATTTTATATGCTACAAAAAGATTGCCAAAATTTTAACAAATTTTATTTTTTCCAGGGACACGAGATATGAATGTCTTTCATATGATATCGCATCAACTGATACCAGCATGAGAAATAGAGGGGACTCCGAAGGGAAGAAAAAAGTTCACTACTTCCTTGCTATTGGTTCTCATTTCTTCTCAGATTGCTGAGGCCTGCATTCAGTGCATGCTATGCAGGCTGGAGAAGGGTTGTTTTCTGAGAGACTAATTCGTAACGTTTGCTGCTTCTCTTCATTTCCAGGAACATGAAGGAGAGCTTCCATGATTAGGATTTCCCAGTCCTGAGGCAGAATATAGGAATACCAATTATCATCTGTAAAACAACCCCATTTCAAAATGGCATCAGGTTCAAACAGAAGAGTATTCCAACTAACGAATTATTTGGACTAAGAGAGTTTAAGCTGACAATTTGCTCAGAAAAACACAAACTGCTAACAAAGCACTTTCCAGTTGGAAGCTATTTACAAGGCTTCCTCTAAGAATTTGAGTAAATCCAACTAGATTTGCAAGGCAACCAATAAATTAATGAGTGGGATTTGAGAGCTTGAACAAGAAAAAAACAACAGAAGATGTACTCAAGTTCACGAAGCAGATGATACTAACCTCCATTGCGAACTGCCTTCAATTGTAATACTCCAGTGCCTTGTGGTCCAGAGATGGGAAATGTGCAAGATACAGAATGTCTTTTATGAGCTACCGCAAGAGAAGCATTGTACCATTGTCCCTTCTCAATCGGCTCCCCAATAGCATCTATAATTGTCTGATTCTTACTGGCTTTCTCCATGGCCTTGCTGAAAAATTATTAGGCAAACGGAAAGCGGAGAATGAGAAGAAAATCTAATATAAGACATCAATTTAGTGATTGTTAATAATAAAACATGCACCATTTGAGGTTGCTAAACAAAGACAAAGAGGTGTCACACTAGGGAAAAAGGACTTTTTATTACTACAAAAAGAAAAAGGAATAAAGTCATTATTTCATTAGAAACTAGAAATAATAAGAAAATAGAAACTATCCTTTTGTCCCATCTCGTAACAATATCCCATGTACACCAAACCTATGTTGCAGGGGCTCAAGTACAACATTCTGTGGAACAAGGCCATATAACAAGAAGATAAGCAACAATACTATCTAATTTCAAGAATGTACTGATGCGATGTTCTGGAAAATAAAGTAATATAATTATATGCAGGCATCTCTCTCAAAGCCATCTGGATAGTTTCATCACTTAATTTAAGAGACAGAACAGCATTCAAGTACCTAAGCATTCAGCGTATATTTTCTGAGCCTACAATAAATCCAAGGTACACTTAATTTTGCAGGTGCACCATTGACACTTCCTTTCATATCATAAAATCAGTGTGATAAGAAACAAATGAATTTCCTCTCTTCTTCTGCTTACATCCAGCAGAGAATAAAAATTTAGCATGTTGAACACAATCCTCCATCATAAGTACATAAGTCATTTCTAATCCTCCATGCATTATGGAATAAATACCATCATCATTATACATCTCTGATTATTTCAACTTTATTCCAATAAGAAATTGAACTGAGAAATCTGACTCTTTTCGAGATCATGCAACCATAATATGACAGATTCTGCTAGTCTCAAGGACAAAATTTTGTATGAACTTAACATACAAGTCTATTGCTGCAAGTTATGGTTCACAACCTATGTTCAGTGTGGGAGTTCAAAACCTAAATGAGAATGCAGTTGAAGGAAATCCTGAGATATACCTCCATTCGTCAACTGATTCTCTGCCACAAATGACTCAACAGTGTATTAAGTTATCCAAAACTATATTGAAGAACCTCATAGGGAAAAAGCTTCAATAAATCAAGTCATCCACAATGAAGGAATAACAAGGTGTAACAAGAATAACAGAGGCTGTGTAAGGCTTAGAGTGTTGCTGTACCCAATTACTAGAAACAATGACTATTACAACATGCTGTCCTAAGACTTCTAAAATGTATTAATGTAAATAAATACTTAGGAGAAGTATGTAGGGCAAGTATACTCATAATTAGAAAAACACAAACACACACACACACGCCACCAGCACATATCATGAGAGTTTTTGCGCATCAGAACCCTAACGTGCACCATCAAGTTTTGCAGTTTCACAACAAAGATGGTATCAAGGGAGAAAACACAAGGCAAAATTAAAAAGCAAATGCAGTAACATCTCATCATGGCCACTAAAAGATCATCGATAGTTCTTGCAAGGATCAACTCTCACTGTAGCATTTCAAATTTGATTAATCTACATACTAAAATTACCACAACAGGAAGCACTAAACAAGAAAACATAGTGAAAGCAACATTGTTTCATGCTCAGCCAAATGCAACAATCTTGTTTTCCACCTTTGAAAAGGAAAAATCCTTAATAAACAAAATAGCAGTTCCAGATGCAATGGAACATACCTGCTACAACCATGGTAGATGGCGAGGTCATCAAGAGCACTCAAGGCGACACCACCCGTTACAGTAATCAAGACAAAAGACACAGCCTTACGAGCAAAAGACTTGCTCTTTTCTTCATTCACCGAATTTCCAGCGCTGCAGTCACAAATGATCAAGTTTAATTTATCTCTTGCATAAAATGTTAAGGTTACTCGAACAAAAAGTTCAACTTGTAAGGACAGAAAACCAGTGTGACAACACAAAATTCAAAAGGAACTATATGAACATTGAATTTCTAGTTAGTCTTGGATATGAAACTGAGACTAAAAAGCAACTTGGGCAAGCCGTTTATCAACAAACCAAAGTGTAAATAAATTAAAGTTCCTCGATTTTTCCCGTTTTGGGTACTCATGCAATTTCAATATCAGACAAAAACTCGATGAAGATTAATGGGTACTTAACATTAATGGCTAACTCAATCCAAAAAACGAAATGCTAAAACTTGAAACACAAAACGAAAGGAGGTGAGTGAAAAAGCCCAGGCAAAAAGGGTACCTTGAGACCTTTGAAGATGGAGAATTCTTGAAGAAAGAAACCAACCTTCTTGCCAACATATCCCTCTTTGTTATGCCCCAAAAAGCGGTCGGCAAAACCCTTCGCAAAAGCTTCTCCTTTGCTTCTGTTTCTGTTTTGGGTGCGACCGTGTGGAATGCTGCTTAGAGTCAACTCGAAGCTAGAGCTGGACTCGGTAGGGACTCAGAGAAGAAAGCTTGGGCTTCTGACTTGTCGTTTTTTGCTCAATGGGCTTATGAAAGTACTTGCAACAGGCTGAGTCAGGACCCAATCCTTGTTAATTGTCCACCAATTTTTCTTCGTAGGATTTTTGGCTTGGAGTTTTGACTCTTCATATCATTTAAGAAATTTGGCTGTTAGCACCTCTCATCCAATTCATTTGGCCAGTGACGGAGACACCACTGTTAATTCTAATTATATTTGCCTAGTTGATTAATCAAGCGCAGTATCAGATGAACCCAACTACCACGCAAAGAATAACTTGAAAGATAATTTCTCCCAATTACATGACATAAATCAACCCAATAAAAATGCTTCTCGACCCTAAGCTGTAACACTTTTTAAGGTTGAACCTATTCCAGAACGGGCTTCCCTCTATACACTGATACGAGAAAACAAAATAACATTTGCTGCAGTGTAGAAAGAAAAAGTAAAAACTATTAAGGCAAGAAAGAGGAAATCACTAGGAGCAATCCTGTAGAATTTCAAAGTCCATATTTATACTTTTCTCTGGCCTTTGTCGGCTATCATACAACAGTTGTAGATACATTTTGGAATAGTATTTTGGAACATTCTAATAATTCTATTTCTATGTGATTCAAACAAAATCTCCAGAACTCCAATCCATATCCATCATCATACTCAAAATACAGAAATCCACAGCAACCCGCAATCTCTTTCCTCCATCTGGATTACTAGTATTCGTAGAGAAGCCCTACACTATCCTCTCAAATACGTATAAAAGAAGACAAATATACAAAATCATAATACCTGCTATGAACATAATTTACTATTGGTTGTAGTGTGAGCGCAACAGCAGCAGCAGATGAATAACAACAATATTTCATCAAGGTTGGAGGCCACCACAAAACTAGCCTCTCTCATCGCCTACCCAATTGTTCTTCTCCTTAGGCCCAGTAGGGCCTTCCTCTCCATACAGCTCAACTGGAAGCTTATAAAAAATATTCTCCACTGAATATCGAAGCATCACTGGCAAAATATTAATAATTTTATCCAACTCAGTTCTAGAATCATAGACAATAGTTGGACCCCATTCTCTCATAAATTGCAGCCAGCCAGGCTCAGCAATAACCCCATCTCCGAGATACTCAGCTGCAACAAGTTCGTAATGAGTACTTGAGTCTATGTAGAAATTACTACTAACAGCATCGTTTCTAATACCAATTCCTAGTTTTGAAGAACCCTGAATGTAAGCTCCAGGGTGAGGATAGCTTGCATGTCCACTTTTTGATGAGTAAACAATAGCTTTATTCCCTTGTACGTACTCCAAATCAAAAGCATTCACCCATACACCACCACTGTGCTGAGAGAAGTATATGCTCCAGAGCTCTCCAGTAAAGTTGCAAATGCGGAGAGTAAAATGCTCCCAATCACCCACATGCTGTCCAATCTTGCTAAGTGCAATATTCATAATACCGATTTTAAGAGTTGCAGGTCCATTAAAGGGACAGAAAATCCACGCAGCAATATCAGTGAAAGTCCCACCAAGTGCTGGCTTCACATGAACATAAAGTTTAGCACTTCCCAAGTTCCCTAGTTTGACATTATTTTTCCTATCACCACTAGGCAAATCTATCCAAAATTCCCCATCATTTCTTCCGCCACTTGGTAGATTTGAGCCATTAACGTCAATGCACTCACCTTCCAAGGCCCCCTTTTTGAACAGAAGTACTCTATTGTTAAAAAACCATGAAACAGAAGATGGCAAGTAGATCTCATCAGGATGAAAGAAGACAGTTGGTCCATAGTGGTTGATCAGTGCATGAATCTGATCACAGTTTGGCATTGCATGTAGTGTAGGATCTGAATTTTTCAAGCATGCAATAAACAGTTCTTGCCCAGGTGTCCAAAAGCTACCACAAGAAAAAGTCCCCACAGAAACACCTCTCCCCAGCATCCCTCGATGAGAAGGTCTCGTGCTCCAAACTTTAAATGGAAATTCTGAAAATCTCATATGGGCATTAAGTATAACTTGATAATTTTCACATCTGTCTGTTAGGTCAGCTCGAACACATCTCACTTTATCTAACTTGGGTTTCTTAGGAGTGTTAGTGACCAGATAGCCCATGGACTTATAACCCTCGGGAGGCTGGGGCAACCAGAAAAAGCCACATCCTTCAAGACTTTCCTCACTCCTGTCATTTGAACTCCAAACTAAAGAATAATCAAGGGGCTCCCTAAGGGCTGGTGACGCAACACAGGCAGAGAAATGAGCAGCTTCTGATTCGAAAGGCTTTTCCCGAGTAACAAGAACATAACCTCTTAAAGGCTGGTCATTAGATTGACAATAGTGCCCAAGGCTATAAAATCCATCAGGTATTCCAACTGGTTCATAAAATGTCACACCCTTTTTCTTGTCCTGTAAGAGGTTGCTGCTCCAGATGAACTCAAATCTTGAGATTTTAACAACTTCAAGTGCTCCAAGATTTATTTTTCCAGAAGCAAATCCTTGACCTGAAAATGGAGGCAGGCAATTAAGACATTTACATGATAAATCAAATTCAAAAGGACAACAAAAGACTAAACCACATCAGCCCAAGTGAACTTTTGATTTGAAAAGCAAAAGTCTTCTAACATTTCATTTTATCAGCCTCTACTCTGCAGCATATAAACATCACATCAACACTGAAGTTTCAATAATGCACCCTAATATATGTAGCTGACATGCTAAAAGAAAGACAGTCAAGTCAAGAATGATGAAACAAAGAAATGCTACTCAAACATCAGAGGAAAGTCCAAAAATAATTGTGGAAAAACACTTGACATATCATATTTGTTTACTTTGAATGTAATAAAAAAAAAACAAAAAAAAGAAAAGCCACTGAAGGAACAATCATACAGTGAAGAATATTCTTTAAACAAAAGAAGACCATAATACAGGAGTGAAGAAGTCAGCAATATTTCATAGACAGACATAATTCATTCAAGCTTAGCTTATTAAAATATATATAAACAAAATAGAAAATAGAAGCAACAGATAAAGAGAAGGAAAAGAAAACAAAATAACAAATGAAACAGTTCTAGGAAATTAGATTTGCTTTTGTTCAACCACAATACGAAAGAATAATCATAGTACACTTTTGGTGGTCCTTTCAGCATAAGCTACAAAGAATTCATTGGCATATATGGATTTGTTTACGGCACCAAATCATCAAACATTCTTTATTTCTTGGCCAACTGTCCAACCATATTAGATGGACTTCCTACACTACACAGGTTTTATATCTCTGTTGTTTCTGTCACCAGCACTGCTTACTTTTTCTGCAGCAATTTTAAAGAGACTAGGAACCATTTATGATTTTCCCACCCTTGCTCAAAAAAGGGAAAGTTAAGGACTATTTCAGCCTCTCGGATACAAAGATCAGCAGGGGATTAGGAAGCAGAGTTCTATGGGGCTAAAATTTTTTCAAAACGGAGATCTTTCAAAGCTGTAATTCTCAAGATTTCTTGGTCCTTCAACTTATATCATTTGAAAGGAGAAGCATAATAGCATATGCCTGTATGGCAAGATTCCATCGCTGATGCCATTAGAGTTAAACTCAATTGCTTTTCAAATGTGGCAAATTAGCCAAACAGACTTCTTTGGTAGAGCTAGGTTCCAACTCTTAGCATGCAAATGGTTGTTGTTCATTGAGAAGTTTCTCTGACTTTGTCATTTGTTTAGGTATTTCAATCTTGTTGTTGGCTGTATTTTCCAGTTTCTGCTTCTACTTTTGCTGCTCCTTTTACGTACTATAGCACAGTTTCTCCAGCTTTCTTTTAAAAAAATCAAATCATTCAAGTATTACAGGGAAAAGAAAAACTTATAACTCAGCTCCAAACTATACTCAAATTCCGAAGTACAAGCTATGTTTTGCAATTCAGTCTATAAGGGTAAACAGTATACCACCTTTCCAGCATCCAACTGATCAAGAATGCCATCTACTCACTCATCAATTGGCATCTTTAACGAAACAAATGCAAGGGCCCCGTTGCAGGTCAAATTTCCTTTCTTTTTAGTTTTAATTTCTCCATTCTGGTAATAAGTAAAAAATCAATGCCCGAATCACCCATCAATCACAGAAAAATGTTACAACAACTCGAGCCCAGAAATCCAATCAACAAAAAAGAAACCCAAAAGGGATAAAAAAGAAGCGAAGTCATCAACAAAATAACTGGAAACAAAACAAAACTCGAAACTCAAAAACGCAAAACTGCTTTAGAAATGGAAAATTGAGTACCTTGAGGCCATTGGGGAAGCGGGGCTGGAAGCGAGAAGGTTTCAGGCTCAGAAGGCAACAACTGCTCCATTTTATTCCAGTAGAAACATTTGCACCCGAACATCTCTCTTTGGATCTCAACAAGCTCTGCAAACTGAAAATTTTTGATGATATTATGCTGCTGATGATGATGATCTCCAACCTGGGTGGCATTATTTGATAGATATTCCGAAGTTTCTTTAACATGAGAGATCGAATGTCAAATTTCGTGGGTCCCCGTTTTTTGTGATCTGCAACGCAATCAAAGTTTTGCACATAATTTCGGAGCATTATTAGAATTTGAACATGTGTCGGTGTCCCTGTTTGATTCAAACAGCAAATCATGTCTTCCCCCTTTCCAAGTCTACAGGCTTCTGACCTCTCTCTGCACTCTGGACCCACCAGCTCATTCGTCTTTTTAGTATATAATATATTCTATGTGGTTTTGCTTTTTCATTTTATTTTTTATTCAAATTTATATTTGTTTTATGATATTTAACATTTATTTATTTCAATTCAAACTATGCGATTAATCTTTGTATTTTATCAAAGCAATAGGTTTAATCCCTAAACAATAATTATTACATCATTCTTGGATGTTATGTTATCGAATTTAATATTACGCTAATATAGTCAACTATTATGCTAAGTGGAGAAATTTTAACACTATTAATGATAAG